GCTGATGAAAGGAAATGCGGATAGGTCTCTTGTGATACAATAGTGAATAATTGTTATCAGGACTGATTGTGAGGGTTGAAAATGTAAAGGTAGACGTTTTGTAGCAGGGAGGGGAGTGATTAACTTTTCAGTCTAGGAGCAGAGGTCCCTGGAACCATCAAGGGAGAACAGCAGTGAGCGGGACCTTACCAAGAGAAGCAGTGAGGCCAGAGATGGAGGCAGAGAGGATAACGTGGAAAGATGAAGCAGCTGGGGACTTTAGACCCAGAGAGGGAGCGGGGCTGTGTGCTGGTGACCAGGGAGCAGGCGGCTTGCAGGTTATACCCTTTGGTTGGTTGATGATGCAGGGAAGGGATTGTAACCATGGCAATGAAAAGATATACGATAAGATGAATATAAAACTAATGTTCTCCCATGTAAACTATCACATAATTCACAATAAAACATAAAAGAAAAAAATAAAGAAAGGTCAGTATTATGCTTGACTTGATCAATTTCAAAGCCATATCAGCATGTCTATCAGGTCTAACTTCTAGTGGACTCAGAATTCTATTACTTTATTTGACTAGTACTGGACATATCAGGTATAGCTATTCCTCCAGTTTTTACAGGACCCTGGTGAGCCATCTTCTTCTGGTGTTATTCATCCCCATTTCCTATTTTATAGTTTCTAATAACAGTAACCGCAATAATAACAAAGCCCTGAAACTCCTTTCTTAGATGAGATGGCAGTGATAAACTCTGAGCAGAACAGACTCTCTCCCATTCACTGAGACTTGGTTCTCCCAGAATCTTGCCCCCTGGACCACCTTTTGCTCAGGGTATGACATCAGCTCCAGGAGAGCAGCTGTGTCTCATGCCCCAACTGATTTGGTGTGAATTACAGGGCTTCATCTTTCCTGTTCATCGTATTCTTAATCTTAGTTGATATGTATAAGCTGCCCTGTCAGTGCAGTATAATTGAACACAACAGATGCTTTTTGAGTAAATTAAGCCATACTTGAATTGAATATTTAATGTTTGGCACAAGTCCACAATCTGTGCTAACTTTGCTTCAAACTGAAACAGTCTTAGTGAACACCCTGAGCTCAAATAAAAATTATCTGAGATCTTATCCTATGCTAGATATCTTGCTGGGAGGCAGGGAGGTGGCCACATTTTGAATCATATTTGTGCTCGCTGGAATTATACATCCAAGAGCTAACATATTAGCTTTTCTATATATCTATCTATCTTTCTCTCTCCCTCTCTATTTTTCTTTATCTCTGGCTTCCCCACTTGCATTTCAGAAGACTAGTATTTCCCTGGATAGTCTGTATTTGCTTTTATTCAAAGCAATATTTCAAATTATACCAAGGCTCATTCGTACCAAAATGTTTTCTATCATTATCTCTCAGATCACCTTGGATGAGTTTTAAGAGTTATTTCAGGTTTGAAAAACAGACAAGGACTTTAAACACGGAATATCCAGACCATCTAATTCATTCATTTTTTTTTTTTTTTTCATTTGCTTCTCATAAAACAAAAATAAAAAAACACAGTGGAAAAAGAAAAGAACTCCCAAGTTCATTTCTCTGGGAGACGATGCCTTTCAGTTATCGGTAAATTGCATCTTAAAAGTAACAGTGCTTCTCCCAATGATGGGAACAGAAAATGAAATACTATGCCAATTTAAAATGCTATTACCTGCCTGCAGTCCCAGTATCTTTCCTTTTAGATGACACTGTTTCTACATAGAACGTTTGTTTTTGTGTTTTTATTTTTTTCTTTTCCTGCTATTTTCTTGATCACACAGAAAAGCTTCATTACAGAAATAAAGGAGGGTAGGTGCACTTGACAAAAAAAAAGACAAATGATGTTAGCAAGAAGCTCTCTGAAGAGGCAGTTTTCAATTTATCTGCTCAGCTGAGTGAGTACCTCTGACTTTTCTCGAGGGACAGGCTTGGCATCCTATCCCAGGACAACATATGGCTTGTGTTAAGTGCTGTCAGTGTCTGCAGAGGTATGTTTTTACCTGTGACATGGAAACTGAGAACACATGAGTCTATGTAAATCTGGCATTTTTCTAAGTGTGCTTTGCTTGCTGAGATGTGATAGCAATAAGGCCAACAAACATGCTCTGCATCACTTTCACAGGCAGGCTATTACTGCTCTCCCTTCCCAAGGCCACATTCTAAAGGTGAAAACTCTCTTTTCTCACCCTTGTTTTGGTTCCTACTTTGTCTTCATTTGGCTGATGGTGCTGTCTTCTCTTTTTAACGCCTTTATTTGAGTCAAATCCAGTTAGGAGACTTAAAATAGCATTTTTTTTTTTTTTTATAGTAGCTAGGCACAAGCTTTAATATTATCTAAAATACTTACACCTTCTTCTCTCATGCAAGTCAAGGCATGGTGTAGCACTTTTTTCCTCACACCATAGAAGTGATATGAGATTCTTAACCCAATCTCTAAGGATTTAGAACATTATTCATATTGATGTTATTTAAAAATTACTCACTGTCAAGTCAATCACAAAAAGACAAGTATCATATGATCCCACTCATGAAATATCTGGACTAGGCAAGTCTGTAGAGACCAAAGTTTATTAGTGTTTAGCATGTGTGAAAGCAGTCTCTGAATAGTACAAACGGTTAATACACTTGACTGCAAACCAAAAGGCTAGAGGTTGGAGATCACCCAGAGGTGCCTTAGATTAAAGGTTTGGCATTAATCAGTCTTGAAATCCTATAGCGCACAGTTCTACTGTGACACACATGAGGTCACCATGTGTTGGGGCCAGCTTTATGGCAGCTCACAACAACAATCAGGGGCAAGAGACAGGGAAAGAGGGAATCATGGTTGAGAAAGCATTGTGTATCTGTTTATGAGAATGGAAGACTTGGCAATGGATGATTGAACAACAAGATTAATGCAATTGGTATTACTGAATTGTACATTATAAAAAATGTTGTATTGGCTAATGTTATATTACATATATTTCAACAATAATAAAAAGTAAAAGAAAAGAAAAACTACTTACTGTCATCATGCCATCCAGAAGCCCAGTCTCAGGCCTGGGTGGAGCCTGCAATCTCTCCATGGACCACTTTTCAATAACTGATGACACTTGAGGGTTGTCAATATTAAGCAGTCGAAATCCAGTCATATTTACACCACTGTACCTATAGAGTTCTAGATCTAAAGCAAATAAGTCCTGTGCAGCATTACAAAGAATAAAAGCAGAAAAGAGTTAACATTTTCAATGTTCTTTATGTGCAAGAGAATTAATGATGTAGAAGCGACAAATAATTAAGACAAAAATGGCATCCATTATTATACTGTTTCTATAAAAGAACATTTCCCACTGCTTTTCATTCACATGGTGCCAGAGAAACTCTAAATGCTAAATGTAGGCATAGCAGCTTTCATTTCACAACCCCCCCCTTTTTTTGTGCAGTATTAGAATTTTGATAAACCAAGAAGAAAAATCTGGAGACAATATGTATGCCCTTTGACACAGGATATGACATCTGAGAAGCTAGAATATTCTCTTCCTAGTCATGGTGGAATTGGAGTGGATCTTTGTATTCATTTGGCTCCATAGTTTTACTGTATAGATGAAAATAAATGAGATGATGTGTGATGATGTGGCTGGTCCAAGGATGCACAAACTCCTCAGTGGCAGGGCACCTCTCCCCATCACATCTGACTGCTCAGACTGTTATGGGTCTTACCAAGGAATTGAAATTTGGAAATTGCATATGCATTTTATAGGAAGAACATTCCCTTTTCCAGCAGGGAAAAAATACTTATCCTTTGGCTCACTGAAAATAACTCATGTCCCCTTATACTGAAGACATGCAGGATGCCCATGGATATGTGCTTAGAATGAGAAACAAAGGGTTCTCTTTGGAGAATATACTGGAGCATATGGTTGTGTGGGCGTGAGTGTCTTAACAATAGAACTCATTCCCTTTCAGACAGTGTTTTAGGGAAAAAAAGTTAAATACATCCCAGTGTTCTTCATTACAGAAGAGGCTTCGTGTAAATTCAAAGTTTATAAGTTGAGTCGCATTTCTTTCTTATATTAAAAAAGGCTAGACTTTAAAACACATCATTAAAAATAAATCATATAGAAAAGTAAACCAATTTTTTTAAAGAATAGTTAGCTGGGAGAAAAAGATTTCATAAAAATTTCCTAATATAACTGCGTCGTGAAAAGTACTATGCGAGATAGTGTGAGATCAGTGATCGCAATAGTTACTAAACAGAAGGAGCTTCCGAAACACTCCAGGACTTGTACTCCTGTCTGCAGCAGACTCACACAAAATTGTTCTTTTGGATAACTCTTTTCTACATTGTTACATTTTCTCAAAATCATTTAGCTTTGGATTCGGCTGCAGAACAAAAGAGCACAGCTCTGTACTGCTAGGTAGTTCAGTGTCAGAAAAGTCATGCTGCCTTCCAAAATTTTGTATTTATATTTCCCTTGCATAGAGCAACTACTTTTTTTTTTTCCTTTAAGTTGTGTTAATACTCATGGTCAAGAGTGGTAGGAATAGAGAAGAAATATAAAGTAAAGCAGGGCAGAATTAAGGTAAAATAAAAGGTATAGGCATAAGTAAGCAATTTAAAGAATAAGATTTGCTTTAAAAAATTTTATGTTAGTGCATTTATTCAATAGAAGGAAAGTTACTCAAGCTATAGGAGAATAGGCAGATCCTTCTTGAATGCATATTGAGTCCCCTGTTGATTCAATATTGTATGAATCACTGTGTTCAAATGAATAAATTAAGCATGTGCAAAATTAGATTGACCTACAATTGGTAATGTGCATGCAAAATGTGAAAAGTCCAAGGTGTGATCTGTAATATTTCATTTCGAATGATGATTGAAGCAAAAGTGTGAGGGATAAAATGAAATGAAGTTCAGCAACTTGATCATACCACCTAGGTTTTCATTGAAGGCCAGCCTTCATAGGTTCCATTGTTTATACTTGTCTCAAATCTTTTCAAAACCAACTATTCATAGTGTATAAGGATTCCTTGGGTGGTGCAAACAGTTAAACACTTAACTACAGGTCAAAATTTTGTGATTCTAACCTACCCAGAAATGATTCAGAAGAAAGGCCTGGTGATATGGCTCTGAAAACCCTTTGGGGGCACTTCTACTCTATATACATGGTGGGTCAACAGTTGGAATGTGCTTCATTGCAATTAACAACAACAAGGGTATTTATATCCAGGGCTGGTAGAAAGTTCTGGGTCAGATGGTCAAATCACTGTGTGCAGTAATACCCAGGTGTTTCTGGTGACTGAGGAGGGGACATATAGAGACCAGAGTGAGGCATTCTGCTCTTTACTGTTCTCAAGTTTCTCTGGCTTGTTTTCACAAAGGACCTGATCAGAACATCAGGAAATCAAGACAGGGTAGGAAAGCACTGAAACCCTAGCTCAGAAATGTCCATCCTGTACCCTCACTCTTCCGACTATGCTCATTAGTAGTAACAATTTTGGCAACTGCCTCAAAGCGTTTTCCTTTGATGTCCTGCACCTTCCAAACTTGTAGATACGTTAGTAGGGATGCAATTTATTACTCGTAGTGGTTATGAATTGGGCTGCGAACCGCAAGTTCAGCAGTTTGAAACTACCAGCTTGTCCGTGGGAGAAAGATGAGGCTTTCTGCTCTGGTTAAGATTTGCAGCCTCGGAAACCCTATTACAGTGTTGCCATGAGTCAGAACCGAGTCCCCAGCACATAACCACCAACCACCATAAATAGTATGACAGCTGCCTGTTCATTGTTTGAAATTCTTTGACTTCCCTACTCAGCTACGTTTTATTTAGTAAAACAGTCGTCTTACTGAATTCCCTGGAATTCAGGTAGATTTCTGTTGACACACCTTTAGGATTACAAAAAAAAAAAAGATTGGATCTGTATTTTCTTCTCCTGTAAGAAAGTGTGTGTTTTGTGTGTGAGCCTATCAGAGGAGAGTGACTAATCTCAGAAACTGTTTACATCAGAGTTATCATATCATTTTAATGTGTTATATGCCCAAAATATTTTCCTTTATTTTGATAATCTTTCCCCATGTAAGAGATTGTGGAGTCCCTGAGTGGTACAAATAGCTTGATTGCTAATTGAAAAATGTGTGGTTCAAACACACCCAGAGATTCTTTGGGAAAAAAGACCTGGCTATTTGCTTCTGAAATGACAGAGCCATAAAAACTTTTGAAGCAAGGTTCTACTCTGTCACACACGGGTTGCCATGAGTTAGAATTGACTCCAAGGCAAATTTCTTTTCTTGTTGTTTTGTTTTTTATTATTTCTTTTGGATTTCTACTACACCATGGTTTTTCTTAATGGTGCAAAATATTTAATACACAGAGCATTTCCTAAGCTCCTGTCTTGATATCTTCCAAATACGTAGCAGATGATCCCTATAACCTAGCTATCTACTGGATGCAGGTGGTTGAACAGCATCAGATCAAAGAATGTACAGTCACACTTCAGTTTGCCTTCTGATGTATATGGGAATTCTAGATGATGCTTTTTTATGAATAGCTTGCACTTTGACAATTTCTATTTAATGGAATTTAATGAAATTTTCATTTTAATCCTTTTACGGATGCACACACATTCCTGCTACTTAAAAAAAAAAAGATAAAGTAGGGGGAAAATCCCTGTGGATCAGCATAACTGGATTTAGAAAATTCTTAGGAAAGTAAGGTGAATTTCCATGACAATATTCTGCCTTTGACATTGGTGAAGTTAACTTTAAAATTACTGTGATGAGATAGTTCCTATCATTTAGAATACATTTCTACTGGAAGCTCTTACCAGGGTTGTGAAAAAGTAGTGATAATACTCAGTCATCATGCCCATGGACAAAATCTGCAAAAGAAAAATAAGAGAAAAGAATGAGAACAAGAATTGTAATCGTAGATTGATGATTAGTAGGTAATTACCTGAGAGCACAGAAGAGGAAGGAAGCTTGGAAATTCAGACTCAGCTCATCAGAAGTTGCATTACTACTGTCAACTGCCTTGAAGTTACACTGATTCACAGTGACTCCATGCACACTTCTTCTGAAACAATGTGCAAACCTTCACTGACAGGTGGGTGATGGCTATGCTTGAGGTGTATTGACTTGGAATTGGACCCTGTTCTCCCTCATGGAAGGAGCTCTGGTAGCATAGTGGTTACAAATCGGGCTGTGGACCACAAGGTAAACAGTTTGAAACTACCAGCTGATCCACAGGAGAAAGAGGAGGCTTTCTGCTCCCATAAAGATTTACAGCCTCTGAAACCCTGTACAGGGTCGCTATGAGTCAGAATCAACTCCATGGCACATAACCACCACCACCACACTAACCATCTCCCTCATAGAAGCAGGATGGCCACACTTAGTCTCTCATACTTCAGACATACTATCAGGAGGAACCAGTCCGTGGAGAAGGACAGCATGCTTATTAAAGTGAAGGGCCAGTGAAAAAGAGGAAGGCCCCCAATGAGATGGATTGGCACAGTACAAGAGCAATGGTATCAAGCCTAACAATGATTCTGAGGATAGAGCAAGACAGAGCAGTGTTTTGTTCTGTTGTGTGTAGAGGGTCATTGTGAATTGGAATTGACTCAATGGCATCTAACAAAAACAACAACAGCTTCCTCATGGAAGGTGATGCATCTATTCCTTACTTATCTCATTATATAGAAGTTTACATTTATATCAATAGCTAAAAAACACAAACTACTTCCCAACTATTTTGCATATTAATGATGTATACCTGGTAGTAACAAACTCTAAGTTGTAAAGGAAGAATAATATTGCTGGATATGGTGGTTAAAGTTGTACGTCTACTTGGCTGGGTCATCATTCACAGTGGCTTGGCAGTTATATAATCATGAAATTTGACTGTTGTTAAATAATGTAGTAATTTTCCATCTTGTGATCTGATGTGATCATCCTCCCTTTTTGCATAATGTCAGTTTTTACCTGATACCAGATCTGTGGAACCTAACAATGTTAATAAATGAGGATGGGGGTAATTCTACCATAGAAATACCACTGCAGGTGTAGATGTTATTAATCCGTGAGTCTACTTTGGATTCTGGAAAAGAGTGTTAGCTGAGAACAAAATGTTGCGCTTGTTTTGGAGATAAGATACTCCTGCTAAATCTTCTAAATTCAGTGTATATTTCCTTGGACAAGCTGTCAAATGAACTACTTTGGGACTATTTTTTAGATTTTGTGTATAAATGAAAGAACAAGAGTCAGAAATCAAATCTCCAAGGCAGCTTTTTCCCACAATTCTGACAAGGCTGGATGCAAATGAGAATAATGCCCCATGGAAAGTATTGATTTTGATTGATTGTGAAGTGCCGTCGAGT